CCAGATATAGAGTTGAACAATTCCTAGAATAGAACAAAATGTATTTATTATTTATAGTCTTAAAGTTACTGTCAGGAGAATGTAATGTGACTTTCAATTTGTAATATTACACAATTAGATGTGATCATTTATTGGTTGCAAATACGTATGACCTTCAGATATATATTTGTCCTTGAACTAGCCCATGTTACAACGAGGGAACTAGTACCTTCTGTGACGAACATGAAGTCAGTATATGTCGCCCCCCAGTGGAGAGTTGTGACAAGGCAACAAGAGTACACTCAAGATGTAAGGGCTTGACTACAGCTTTAGCCAAAGTAGTATACCAATAAATTACAGATACATCACACTTTGTACTTTTTACTGCTACACTGAGTGATAGACAATAAACACTAACCCAAACCACAAATCGCTCACCAGATTCTGAAATAAGACAACCATTTTAGGCATGAACAAACTTTCCAAATAATCAAAAGTAGCTACACAAAGCCAGAAAAAGACGTCAGTGTCAGGGAGTGGATTCATTTAGTTGTTTCAGATCAAAGAGAAAGGATTCATATATCAGGGAGGTTGTTTGTTTTCAATCCAAGAGACAAAAACAGAAAAATTAGGGCGTCAGTTTGAAAGCTCCTTACGTCCCTGTTCACCGTTCATACATTCATTGAAACAAAAGTGTTGTCCGTACAATCACTGTGCATGCGTCTGCAGAGGAAACTTGGATCAGTGTTTTCGGATTGGCTGCAAAATGTTTTTTTTAAGATCTATTGTCACGATTCCTCTGTCCTGTATGGTGATGCTAATGTGTGGATGATATATTTATTACACTTTTTAAGATGATTCTGAATTCATCAAATGTGTTAGGGAGCACTGAAATAGAGACATTCAATTCAACGAAACAAGTATATTTAAAGAGTCCTTTATAATAACAAACTCCATCAAAAACATTCTGCATCTGAGAAAACTGAAACAACAAAAAAGGTGATTTTAAAAAGCGCACTTTCATTTTGTTGGCTGTTTTTAACAGTGTTAATATCGACTGTGTCTAACTGTGACTGTGCTCGAGGTTGGTTGATTAGTTTCTGCAACTAAAAAGTACAATTAAAAGAGTTCAAACCAGTGAAACAAAGTGAATATGGAGGACTCATGAGGTGATGACTGTAGTGTTTGAGTTACAGAAAAAGTGAACTGTCTACTCTGCGCTCCAGTCTGATCTGTAAATGTTAAAAGGCTGCCACCTAGTGGAACTATTCCCACAGTGGCTGTAACAAGAACACAGAACATACAATGAAGTACGTTTTACATTTAAGGTGTAGTTTTTACATTGAGCAGGATATGAAGTGTGTCCATTATCCTTTCTCAGATTAGACTTGATACTTGTAAATTTGATATGCTTTGTTATTACAGGTGCCGTACATGTCGAAGTTTCAGAAGATGGGAAATCTCCAAGAGAGTGTCCATCATGACTTTACTTAACTGCTGAACATTTTACATTCTTCTTTCATGCCTAATGATAGAGTAATAACTACATATAGTTATAGACCAGTGGTTCCCAAAGTGGGGGCCGGACCCCCTGGTGGGTCACAAGATGCCTTCCAAAAACATGTAAAAATGGAAAATGGTTTAAAATTGAATATTATTGTGAAAATACATACAAAAAAGTAGTTTCTAACATGAATTTATAAAAATGGTATGATGGTGTTTGGGCTATTATGTGGTGTTCTAATTTAACAACTTGTGCTATATTTATGTGCAGAAACAGATCTATTGATCAATTTGTTAGTGAAAGGTGTACATAGTGCATATATGTATTGTTGTTATTATCATTCGATTCTTTCTTATTGTCATCAGTATTTCATCCTTTCCATGTTTGTATCTAATATGTTTTACGCTTTTATTTTGAAGTGTTTTAACACGCAAGTTTCCCCCAAAGTGGGATCAATCAAGTACATCTTATCAGTCTTATCTTGTCTTGACTCTGCATATGTATATAAAAGAAAAATTTCCAAATCTCCCAATGTATTCTTTCCTTCTCGTCACCAGATTTAATCAGAGATGTTGAACAGCTTCCATGCCTGAGAGTGAACACACTAAACTATGAGATAACGCCCAGACTTCAAGTTGCAAAATGTAAATGACAATAAAACCTTCAGTGTCTGTGCATTATATGTTGTAGCAGTTGTCTCTGAAAGCTATTTGTTGAAGACTTGAATCCAGGACTTGAGGCTGTACAGTTGAGCCAAAGCTACGACTACACGTTGTTTACTCAGTTATGTAAATCCTCTGCAGGTTTTTTAATTTGGTGTGAACTTCTCTTTCAAAATGCTAGATAAACCCCTGTGATTAAATCAGCTGATACGTGATAAGCATCAGAAGATTGCACAGTTTAACATTCCACTACGTCTGCAACAAAGTTTCTTCACATTTGCCCAAGAAGACAATTTTTATAGTCTTTATGTTGCATTAATATCCTACTGTGTAACACTCCACATGGCACACATCATGCAATATCAGGTTTCATCCAGTGGAGGTCAGTGCTCCAGTGTTTGAAATTTGAGTGGGCTCTGCCGATATGGGACAACTAGAAAGGTTACATACAAAGGGAAATCCAACATAAAGGCTCCCTGACTTTTTTTACAACTTTGTTTGAACTGAAGAGATGGAGCCCCAGTCTTCCAAAAGAGTTTAATTCATTTAAACAACAAGCTTTGTCCTTGACTCCAAATCTGCATGTATTCCAAACTTAAAAGTCCTTTTCCATTTGGATTTAGGTTTTTTAAACAAGTTGTCTTTAAAGGCATGCCTCTTCATAATGTAGACAGCATGACATACCAGATTTCACATCTGCTCAAAGGAGTACAGTCAGATAAAACAAGACCCTTTAGGGCAGTGGTTCCTAAATCGTTTTCAATAATGTAGTAGTACTTTATATTTTGAGGAAGAAAGGCTGGGAGACATTTCTGCACAACGGACTCTGCAAGTTTCTTGTTTTGGCATTGGCTGGATGTACAATTTATTTTTTATTAATCAATAAATACAAATTTCAGACGACCCCATCTGAATTCCATGCGACCCCACATGGGGTCAGGACCCCAAGGTTGGGAAAAGCCTGCTTAAGGGGAAAGGCGACCACGCACTCTGGAATCATCTCTTTTGATCAAAACCATTTATTTTTGGGAAGGGAACCAAAGTGCTCCATTAGCTCATTCAAACAGGGCATGCTCAGAGAAAATAGCTAGGAGAAACAAAAATAGGTCGAGGTCTTCCTCATTTTCTATCTAGGCTGTGCCCGTTCCCGACGGGTATTTAGGGATAGCCTGAGGTTAGACCTGCAAAGTGAATCCAAAAAGGAATGGGTCGTTTAAATAGGGCACGTTTCTTTTTATGCTGTATGAGACGTACTGTGTGTTCAGCAGCAGGAGAAAGTCCCTTTACAATAAAAGGAGATTGTTCTTTCTTCTCTACGCAGCAGAGACCTATTTATAAGTTGTCACATCCACCAGCTCATACAAGTCACAAATACATACTTCAAGTCCTCTCTCGTTTGTTAATATTACAGGAGTATGGTTGGCCTAAATGATGTAAAAAAATGCTCTTTCATCAGCTCCTTGTTGAATTAAAGCCTATAGTACTACATGCCTTTATTTACCACAAGGAGCAAATTGTTTATTAAAAAGATACACCTTAAAATGTTTGTTTATGGGGGTTTCACCTGGATAAAAATGGTTTTATGACACATTGTGTTCTCGAGTTTGGTAGATTGTTTTAGACAAAACTTCCAGCCTTTCAATTCAGGCAACACTTTTAAGCTCTCCTCAAATAGTAAAGTAGGCCCAACCAAAAAGGCTGTAATGTCTCCTGGTGGTTTTTCAAGGCAGGTGCCTCTTTGCAAACCTTCTCCTCAGAATCCTGTCCCATTTAACTCAGCTCGCTGCAGTTAGTGATGAATCAGCACAAATACAACAGGACTGTGCAGCCATCATCAGGCACACACCACAGAACGATGCAGTGACTCTGTAAATCTGAGACCTAAGTGCCACATTTGCTCAGAAGGAAACACAATAATGTGAAAAAAAAAATGTTTTGGAAGATACCACAATTTGAAGAAAAAAGAAATAAAAAAAAAAAAGAAGCGTGAACCATCTCTTGTACATAAACACATTTTTATTCAGCCTGATATAGGTAACACATGAAAAAAAAAATTAATTCTAAGAGAACTACTTCCCTTTGTGGAGCTAATGATATGACGGTTTGATATCAGCTTCAGGTGCTCACTGGACAGCTTTCAACATCAGCTGCTGTGGGCTGTGAGGATATTAAGCATAATCGCATGCTACGACTGACCTGAGGCGTTTTTTTTTTTTTTTTTTCCTTCTTCATCTGAACTAATACAAAAAGAAAACACATCCCCCTCGGCAGTCATTATATGTACGATTTCTCACAAAGTGATATGGAATGTTATTTCAGAAATGCAGTTTAAAAAAAAAAAAAAAAGGAAAACTGTTTGTTGCAACAGCAGAAAACAAGATAAAAAAAAAAAAAGATAATGGTTTCCCAGAATTCGGTTCCCAGGCTGCTACTGTGAGTGAGGCGCTCACAAACACAACTCAGTCCAAAGTGTTCGACAACAAAAACAACAGAAAAAACCTGCTGCTGCGAGTGAGTCTCCTAATCCTCACGTGGATATGAAGAGAAACCACAACCTGGATGCTTAATAGTACAGAAGGTACAGTCAATTTACACAGTTTGCAGATCAGCTTTGGAGTCTATTATATTAGGGCTGACAGTCATAGATACAAAGCAAAAGACTGATGAGGGGGAAAAAAGGGGGAGGATCTTAACATTTAACTAGTGTTAGTCGTCTTTTTTTTATTTATTTCACAAAGTGCAAATTTTCCTTTATATTACATCATTACCAATTTGTTTTAAAGAAATTCTTCTTATTCTATTATATAACAATGAAAAATGGAAAAAAACTAGCCATTACCCAACCCCAACCCCCCCCCACCAGCTACCCATCAGAAAAGTAAAAAAAAAAAAAAAGAGGAATCACTAAATACATGCTGCAATGACGCCCACCGATGTGTCTGACCAGAGCCTCCTTCTCTCCTCCTCTCTCTTACAGTACACTGTTACTGCCAGCGTGCGTTTATAGTTAAAATATATATATTAATCTATCATTAAATAGTATGCCTCTTGCGCAGTCTTGCATGCACTGAAGAGCATTGTGGGCAAGCTGTACAAGGAGGAGAGGCATGTGGACGGACTCGCTCAAGCTGTAGGCTCCGGGGTCAGGTCCAGGCACTCTTATCGCCACCTGTAAACGGTTTCTGCCCCCTCTTTCCCTCGCCACCACGTCAGTCCAGAAGATGGTTCTCCAGTGTGTTTTTTTTGTCGGTGAGCGTTGGTTTGTGTTTTGAGTGTCAGTGTGTCGCGTCTGTGTACGTGTGTGTGTGTGTGGTGTGTGATGTGGTCCTAAATTCAGTTTCACAAAAGAAATGTGCGGATCACTGAAGCTTGGTTCCGAGCTTTCGTTGTCTGTTCCTAGAAACAGAAAGACAAAGAGAACAAATTCAACAGTGTCACACACACTAATAGAAGGAGGATTTTTATATCAGCAAAAGATCTATTCAAATGTGTATCTGTTGTTTGTCAATGCATCATGAAGAATATTTAAAAAAAAGAAATGATTTCCACTAACAGCATTTTGTGTTGAGGATATCACCAAACCTACAGATATTCAGTTTATTACATTGACAGACTTGAAGAAGTACAGTGTCTGTACAAATGTCTGGTCACTTAAAAAGTCAACATAAATAATATATTCATAAAAATAGTTGCCTATTATTTTGAAAACAAAGCGTGTATATTTTTTGTAGAAGTTTGAAGTCAATCTGGTAAACAAAAAAAACAGGCTTGTTTTAGTGGATTCACAAGCAAGGAAACAAACAAAAAAGGAACATTTTTGAGCTTACTAACTGATATGAAATAAGCTCACTAACATAGAGAGCTCTCCCGTCTCCCCTTCAATAACTCCGTACAGTTCAGACATTTTCTATGACAATGATGCTTGTATGACAATTTATTGTCCCATAAATTATCCCATATTCACCTAATGTTCTTTTTGCTTTTTAGGCCTTCATTGTAGAGATAGTACAGTGGATAGAGTCTGGAATCACAGCCACATGCGAAAGGAGCCACAGGTTGAATATGAACCCAGGTCACCCGTTTTGTGACGTGTGCCTTAACCACTCGGCCACCGTTGCCCCTCAACTAACATTCTTTGGTAATGATGATGGTTAAATGATTTTATAAATATCCAATATGTCAACAGGTTTCAAGCCCTGCCTAAATCAACATTATGTATCATCAAACATCAATGTGTCTCTGAGGTGTGCTGGACATTCTGGTGGTTGATTGACTTACCTTGCCTCTGATCTGGTCACTGTATACTCAAACCATAAGATGTTGGGGATCAGGCTCGTGTCTCGCACCAGGAAGTACTCTGATATTGGCCTATCAATCGAAACAAATGAGAGTGTAAGGAAAGAATAATTAGAGCAGCCATAATTGAGATGTGTTAGACACGTATTCAGGCTCAGGAGGAATAGTCCTCCCCTGTGACATTAGAAGGAAGCAGAGGAATGAGGGCCCTACTTACCACGCTGCTATTTTCGGGAATAATGGTGTCAACACCTCTTGTGTGAAAAAGAACCAGACAATGCCAATCGTACAACCGGTCACTCCGCCATAGAAAACCTGGCTCCAGGTGTGATACAACAGGTAGACCCTGATGATGAAAGAGAGAGCGAGAGAGAACAAAACAATGTAATCATTGAGTTTCAGACTAAACTAAGTCCTCCAGCATGCATGTGTAACAAGATCACATTTGGCGTGTTCACGCAGTCCAAATAGTGTTACTCAGGAAAAAGCACAGTTTGGCTCCTTTGCTCAAAGTGTGAGCAGACGGTAAGGCCACACAATATTTTAAATTAGTCTGTTTGCCCGGAGCACACTGTAACAGAGAGGGTCATCAAAGCTGTTATTCATGAGCTGCAAATATTTCTAAGTTTAGAAATGAGTAAACCAATCGGGCAGTAAGTGAATCTGTTATTTAATCCATTATCATATGTAATATTTATGAATCATAGTGATATCTTTGGATTTCATTTAAGTGGTTTAGCTCAATAAAAAAAAAAAAGTGGGAGCTGCATTAAGAAATCTTTTATTTCAATGTATTAATTCATTTAATCAACATCCGGATAAATGAAAGTATCAGATGAGACTAACAGACAAGCTATATTAAAGGACTCGTACATTTAATGAGACTGAACAAAACTCAACAGGCAAATCACGAGGTATACAAACTGAGAGTCCAGTTAGCCTCTGCATTGATCTATGCTGTCTTCATTTATTCATCTAGATTATGACAAAACAAATTTGTCAAACAACACATCTCAAGAGTTGGTTAACATTTTTATATCCAAAGAATGAATCAGTGTTTCCTGCAGTGCTTTATAATTCAGATAATTGCTTAAAGAAGCAATATGTAACCGTAACGAGTAGCATTTAAAATGGGTACTGCAGTCCAAATTCAAACCATTGAAGAGAGCTGTCCCTGTCCCCCTCCTCCCTATAGTCGATGCTCATGCGTGTTGCCATGTCGTGGACACTGAAGCTTCAGTGCTTAGCCAGCTCTGCATTGGTCTAGAAACCTTTTTTTTGAAAAGCCAGCTAGCACTTTAAATAGCGATTTATTTATTTTTTCTGTGGGAAAGACTGATGTATGCTCAGTATATTCAAACTTCTACCAACTACTACAAATACTAAAAAGTATTAAAAAATACCTGACTTCATCAGCCTCCAATGTTAACATTTTCCCTCTACATGTGCACTAGCTTAGATGGTTTCTGACAGGGTGGGAACAATCCCTTACCTGCTGTACGAGACTGAGAAGGCGACTCCCAACAGGATGATGGACAGTATGTGTCTCCACAGCAGGTCCACACATCTAGCATTGTTGGTTTGATGCATTCTGAAATGAGAGAGCAGCACGAGTTCACAACCTGACATTCACCTTAAGAAAGGTGTGCTTAAAGCTTCCAAAGAGTGATAATGAAAAACATGTATTCTATCTATGATTCAAATAAAAAAATATATATACATATTTGACAGAAATATTAAAGAATCAAGCTGTACGATGCCAAACAAACCTATTCCACAATGCTGAAAGCTGTACAGAACATATCTACTTAGTTAATTTATGTCAAGAAACTTAATTAGCATCTTGGTCAACTTTAGTGGTTGTTGGACTCCCTTAAAATTACAACCTTTACACCTCCCCCAAAACAGCAAACAAAAACAAGCTCACCTTAAATAAAGGAAAAGAAAGAAGTAAACAACAAAGAACCAGATGAGCTGGGAGTGACTGGAGGGCATCCCATAATCTGTGTGCAGGGTGGAGTGTGTTCCTGCAGGGAGAAAAAAGAATCAAACTTAAACATTTATATCGAAGAGAAAATCTTCATATAAAGATTGACATTTGGTCAAATTGACTAGTGAGTGTCTCTCATTTCCTAACAATGTATTATATGAAAAGGGATGAGAAATACAGTGATGTCGTTCATTTGAGGTTATTTGTGTATTTGTCTTTTATTCGAATGATTTTGAATGCCACTTGTTATCTAAATTGGTTGTTAGTCCATGCTTTTATACTCAATGTTTCTTTCTTATTCCACAAGTCTCTTTTGAAAAAGAGATCATAATCTTGCTGGGAATAACTACTTTAATTCATTATAAACTTAATTTGACCATATTATCATAATGAAGAATAAAGCTTCAACATCTCTTCTTGTGGCAGCTAATATCAAAAAAATTATACAATCATAAGAAATATTGGTTGCTATTCTGTTAATCAGTAATTTCTCACCAAAATAAGCAAACCAGTCTCCATTCATTGCTTTTTTAGATCTGACATTTTTTTTCCAGTTTTGTTCGTTGTATATCATTGGAATTGGGACTCGAGATCAGATAAGGCGCTATTGATCAGAGCAGTCAACAGCCCTTCCCGCTCTCCAGAGAGACCACGCCCCCTTTTGGGTGAAAGCAAGCTCTGAGTATGTATGGGCCGTAGATTAGAAAACACTGGTAGCAACGAGATGAAATGCTATGGAAGAGCATTTTGTACTTCCAACTATTTAAAAAAATATTCGTAAATGTACTGAAAAAATAAATAAAAATCATCAACCAAGAACAGGGGACTGTGAAAGAACAACTCTGTGGCTGTGGGCTGAAACTAGAGAGGATCAGAGTGGTCAAATGTGGGACCGGTGTTCTCACTGGCTTTAAGCCAGCAATCGTTCTGTGACAGCAGGAGCTGTAGTCTGCCTGCCTGTTCCCAGATTTTTCACACATTCACTAATGTACTTAAAACATTTTGTCACATCTCATAATGTTTGGTGAAAATGTCTATAAAAGAACCCTGAGCCAGATCCTCTTACAATTCACTTAGCAGACACTTTTATCCAAAGCAACGTACATCAGAGAGTAAGTACAACAGTAAGTACAACTCTTACTAAAAGAAAATAATGTAAAGTTTGATATTGACACATAACACCTTCTCATCCTCATCTCAGAGCCTCACTTGTCATGTATCAATTTAAAAAAAGGAAACAATATCCAAGTTACATTAGACCCCTAAAAACTGTCTATATTTACCAATACATTACAGCTATGAACACTGCTAGAAACGATTACAAAGAAATACTATTGAAAAGTAGATCCCTTTAACAAAGTTAAAGATTCTCTATTTTCTTTAAGTACTTTATTATTTGAGGCTCATGTTTACTTGAGTATATATACTTGATAGGAACCCCAGTTTTCCATCATAATAAAATCCAATTTGAGACTAGACACCTGACTAATGTCTGACAATGTGACTGATATCAGAAGTAGATTTTCTGACTACAATGTTGTTGCAAGTTGCCCAATCATTATCCTTTTATCAACTAGTTCAGGGATGGGCAACTTTGGTCACAGCAAGGGCCACATTCATTTAACTCTCAATACCAGAGGGCCAAATTGTAGGATACAAAAACAATTACATTCAATTTCTTCAATTTAACTCAACATATACCAGTGATCAAATATTATTATGGACATACTTGTGGTTTTCATGATTTCATGGCAGATTTTGTCATGTTTTTCTTCATGTTCCCAATTAATTGATATGTAAAAATTGACCTGAGGGCCACGTTGAGGGTTGATGGGGGCCGCATGTGGCCCCCTGAACTAGTTGCATCATTTACCTGCACATGGGCGCGGCTCTCTGAGGATGTTCTTAAGCAGCCAGTTTACCCCTTCATTCAGGATGAGCCCGCCAAAGAAAGAAATCTGTTGGTGAAAAATATTCCAAGTTAACACATGGGCACTTAAAAACACATGGCCTGACACAAACATTTAGGAAAATTCCGTAAATTAAAAATACTGACATGAAAGTGATAAAAGTAAAGTTTGCTTTTTCTTTTTCCTGCAGACAACCCCAGAAAGTGCATGAGCAAAACTCACCGTGTGGAGCTCCCGTTTAAACACTATAAGTGTAACAAAACCCACAAGGATTGCTATGGGTAGGAGACTGATGTAGGCCAGCACATTCCCCGTCAGATCACCTGAAACACATCAACACATCACTGAAGTTGAGGCTACCTGACAGTGGTGGGAGTGACACTTTGAGACTCTCAGAGAACCCGGATGATTATTATATTAAACTCTTGACAAAAACAAGAAACTGCTCTGTTGGAGAACCGAAGTCATTAATTGTGTAAACTAACAGAAACTGCAATTTAGTTTTATAATTAATTAAATAGCTTGGTGCAATTAAGTTCACGCTAGTTATACTTTACAGTGGCAGACCAAAAGGCAAGCTAACACGTTAGCCACAGTCACGGCTACTATCCTGTAAGGCGAAGTAGATAATAATTTAGTCCATATTGGAAATCTTGTATTGCAGTTATGAGTGCTTATATTTTTTCGCATTTATCTCGTGGGAGTGGGTATATTTGTTATTTCCACAGAGAACATATCAAAGCCGATATTAAAATAGCTATGAGGCTAACTAGCCTTCATTGTGGACGTTGACGCCAACTGCGCATGCGGCGCTGTCTCACAATTTGGCAGTCCGAACTACATTCCCCGCTGTGCTTGAGATTTTACAGCGGCTCACAATTTGGCAGTAGCACCATCGGCCGTGTCCATTCAGTCGCACGCAAACACATGCGCTTCAACAATTTCCCAGCGGCTGTCGGTTAGCAGACATTAAGGCGTTATAGGAATGTGTTAAGTTTACTCACCCTCGGGGAATTCTACGTGTGTCAAAGATATGGACCGCCATTGAGGTGGTGCCGAGCACTGCTCTTCCAACGCCATCTTACCCGGACACAACCGGGCTGTCCCAGTGAAACGCCCCAGACACGTGTTCAACCAATGGTGGTCGGAGCTCTGTGTTGAAGCGAGCCCCGGCAGCGGAGGAGCCGTCCAATCCCAGCCGCACAGCGAAGATGAGATATTTAGCCCATAGAGAAGAATTATTGAATGAACAAAAACCACAAAAGTCCAGTGCTCCACATTTAAGCAGAGAACCTCTCTTATGAAATTAAATTAAATTAAATTAAATTAAAGTAAATTAAAATAAAAAAATAAAATAAAATAAAGTAAAATAAAATAAAATAAATTAAATTAAATTAAATTAAATTAAATTAAATTAAATTAAATTAAATTAAAAAAATAATAATTTGTATTTCATTAGGCATAAAACAATGCTGCTCAGCTGCTGCCCAAATCCTATCCTAACTTGTAACTCATTTGTAATAAATGGTATTACAAGCTATAATTAACATTCTTATTCATTACAGGCAACTCGTAATTGAGCCATTCACAACACTGCAATTAGGCCTATCATTATTTCTGTGGTGTAGCCTATAGGCCTAATTAAGCTTTTATTTTTTTTCTAGACATCAAATCAATCTACATCCTTTTGATTTTGTATTATTTTGTGCACTGCTTCAAGAACAACTTTAAACAGACATATGTATCTTACATTTTGTATACCTCTATTATATCCCGTATGATAAATAGCAAAAGATTATTTGATGGCTGTCTTAGTGAGATCAGTAGGCCTACATGGTTGTATTAAGTGACACTGACTACCATGGACCCCATTGGAGAAAAGACCCCAGGTTTTTTAAAGCAGGAACTAAAAACAAAATGTTTTGCAATGTCCAGGAGAAATGAGATCCCTTAAACAAAAGTTGTCAAAGCCATCTTTAGAACTGGAGTCTATTGATCATTTACTCTGGTTATGTTTGCTATACAGAAATTTTGAGGGCATGCAGTAACATTTATATAACTGAGAGCAAATTTAAACATGTCCTTAAAACACCTCACTGTGCAGAAGGTAGGAAAACTATGAAGTTTTCTAAACTTGCTTAAGTGCACCCTCCTCTGGCATTACATTGAATCACTACAGAATTTTCTCTCTACACCCTACCATAGGTTACCACCAAATGTCTAAAAGTTCATTAGAGTCCTGAATCAAAACTCAACCTTTTGTTAATAGAAGAATAAGGGGAAACGGAAGTGACCTTTTAGAATAGTATGGTGGATAGTATGGTTTGGGAAAATAAATAAAAAACAAGGAATTATTTGGGCCCGAGCACCGACCTCGGAGCGAGAACCCTATTGTATCTGTAGGAGTTTTCCTTTGCACAAATGAATCGCAAATTTGGGGGCCTTAACATGCACGAAAACTCACAAATTTTTGCGTGTGTGAAATTTACATATTGTAGTGTTTCCGTACAAGTGTGACGCAAAATGGCTCAAGAGCGCCCCATTTTGATTTTTACGAATAGTTTTTTTTGCCTACCTACATGAAAATTTCTGTACATGTTGAACATGCCGAGACCTACAAAAAAGTCAGTGGAGGTCATCACCTAATGTCAACAGGAAGTCCACCAGGATTTTTTGAATGTCAAAAAACGTCATATTTTCCCTCTTTAAAGGGTACCTGTTTGAAAGCATCAGCCCGAAAGCGTTTATCTGATCAATTCAAGTTTGGTATCAAATGAAAGTAGACAAATTGAAGGATAAAAATCACTCAAATTACGAGGTTTCAAAATAAGGCGTGGCCGTGGCATGATATCAAAGTTTGTTGCTGTTTTTGGCATCGCGCCTAAAACAGTAAATGCTTATAACTCTGCTATGCAGTGTTCAATCATCACCAAAATACTCATGCATGACAAATAGCCCGCCCTGAACACATCCATGAATTGAAGTTATTAATCAGTCACAGCGCCACCTGTTCACAACAGGAATTTACTACTTCTGAGCACTATTTTATTTGCATTAGCCATTGCTACACAGTTGCTCATATCTCCCTCACAATCGCTGTTGACCTTGGCCATACAACCTTTCGAAGCTCAAAGGCCTTCGCTAAAAAGCAGTTGCCTTACGAACGCGTTGTTCGCCATCAAACAATTTTTTTTTATTTGAGGGACTTAAAATTGCTTAACATGGTCGTATACACACAACACGTCATACACATCATCCCAGTGGGAAAGTAAAACTTTTCCTGTAGGTGTAGTGAGTGGGCGTGGCTTAATGGCTCAGTGGCGCTCCCTTGAAATTTTTAAAAAGGCCTCCCCATAGGGGTTTCTTTCACAAAAAATGTTTCTATATATTTAACATATCAGGCCCTATACTCTGGCACCTATAGTCAAAAATCAACAGGAAGCCCGCCATAAGTTGTTTAACATTAAAAAAATAGTTCAACTTCGCATTGTCAGTGTGTTCTAGATGTGTTGAAGATATCAGCTTGTGCGCTATCTATTTAGCTCTACCAATATTACACACATCCACACACTTCATAGTGGGAGATAAAATACAATGAGATATAGTTTTGGGAAAAGGCATAATAAACATGTTTAATAACAAAAATAACATTTAACATGGAGAATCAAAATCAATTTACAGTTTGTGCTGACATGAAAGTTAACAATACAAAAGACAGAAGGCATGGATAGGACACTTGGTATGTACAGCAGTGACTTGCAAAAGAAATGAAAAATTTCAATTTTTTTCCACATTTTGGCCGTCTGAGATTCCTTTACTCTAACAAATGTACGTCTAAGTATGAGAGTCCACGCTGACACCATGGCTTCATATGATTTTAGCTTCCTAAATGTTTTCTTTAGCTGATTCCTAATTGAAATGATCTAAACTAATGACAACTATAGAGCTGAGTCCGCGTCTAACTGTTGCAGGGATATACTGATTCATGATACATTTCAGAGAATTTTACACTTAACATGCGAAGGCTTTTTGGAGAAATTCATCTTCTCTACAGATACAGAAAAAGCAGGCCAATATGTGAACACAGGACTAAACAATAGCATAAATGCATTCACCTGCAAGATGCATATTGTTGCAAATATATTATATACTCTACAATAACAGGGGAGACATTTTTTTTTTCTTAAAGCAGCTTTAGGGATGGAACCACATGTGGTCAAAGTATGAAAACTTTCAACATTTCAAGGATGAAAACTCAAACTTTGGATAGAATAAAAGATTACCATAATACATTTCTTTCATCGTAAAGATAGTTTTTCTACTGTACACTTCTTATGCTCTAACTTACATATACTTTTTCAGTCATAGGTTGCAATAAATAATTCAATATGTTTGTTCAACTCTTGAACAGATCATTCAAATAAGGGCTGTTTCCTGAATCTTCCTGCTTTTTCTGATAAAGTGCAAAATGCTTAAAAACACGAAGCTGCACGTCTGTCAAAAACAAAGAACTATACTATGTTGAGTAAAAAGCTCTATTTACAGACAGAGGCCGAAAGAATCCAACAATGCCGACTTTTAAGACATCAAGTACAGTTTTTAAAGACAACACGATGGTATTGTATCGCAAAGTGTAAGAGCAAATCCTTCTATCAGAGGTGTGTCGTAACGATAGCAGTAGATTTGGATTGCACGGTTATGAGAATGAATAACAAAGAGCAGACCTCCTCTTATTTGTGTGATAAAATGTTAAAAATCTGTGCAACCCAAAATGATTTGATAGAAGTGTCTTCCCTTTTCTGATTCATGCAGGCAGCAGTAAGCATACATTCTGTGTTTCTAACGCTCAAAATAACAAATCTGTCCATCAAAATCATTCAGTACTCTAGTTTCTTAAACAGTCTGCATTCAGAAATCTCTTTTTACAGTAGTGGAGGTTTCCATGGGAGGACCACAGGAGGAAACTGCTTGAGGGTAGTGTCCGACAGAATCATTTATTTTGAATCAGACTACTGTCTGAGGAGGCATTGGTATCGGCCCGAAACGCGAGTCTGTGCATCTGAAACAGCATAAGGAAGGAACAATGGCATCAGAACATCTCTAATTTCTACAGAAGAGCTGATCAGACATGCAACCGTAGATTTTATTTGCTCCGTTTTCACGGTATAATAAATCCTTCCTGGTTTTCTCGAAATCTCAGTATCTTGAGATTACGCTGGTTTTCCTATGATAAGAGAACATTTCAGTTGTTTTCTTCAGATTACCTCTGCATAAAAAAAACAGATGGTTTTCCAATTATACCAGATTAGTGTAACTCAATATCTTGATTCAACAAACCACTTTCTGGTGATCTAGAAAACCAAACAATAGACTCATTGATGTGATAAGTCGAGATCTTGAGAGAAAAACAGGAAATGATTGAAAATGATGTGAAAATGGACTGAATAAAAAGTATGGATGCATGTCCTATCAGGGCCTCTGTAAACTTCAATTAAAGTCACACTGTACATTAACAGGTTCTTCACTAAAGGTCATCATGAAATCAGAACCAAAACAACAATACTCTTGCTAAGTCTAGGTCTGTTGATGTTGACAAGGCTGTCAAGGTAGGGTATAAGATATAGAAGTTCTACATGTGGGCATGATGTGGTGATTGAGCTAGCTTGAGGGGGGGGGGGGACTCTGGGACACCGGAGCTCACTGTCCAGCCTTCCCAAGATGTTGACTAATTGGACAAAACAACAGTGAAGGGAGGTTCCTACTTGACAACAACTGTGTTGTCCTGGCTCTTGCTGCCCACCAGTCTACACAGTTTAGTTGTGGAGGGGTCAGAAGGGGCCATGTGGAAGGGTAGGGTAGTTACTATTGGAAACTGTGACAACCTGGAGCTCGCATCAATGGAGCCTGGGTCTTTTGGAGTTGGCAATGCTGGTTGCAGGGGCAACTAAGGGCCACTGGGTGGGTTATATAACTCCTCAGTAGGGCACAGGGGTATAATTGGGATGAGGGGTGTCTTCACTGAGGGCTCATCCTCTCATTAGGCCTCGAGTTTATTTCAAAAGTAGATGGCACTGATTGATTTTTTTTTCCTCTTTCTCAAGTCTCTGCTGTTTGTTACAGCAGTAGGAAGCCTTTCTTTGTGGGAGACATTTTGACATTTTTACCTCAAGTAAAAAAAGAAAAAAGAAAACGTGAATAATAAAATGAGTGACAGCTGTCTGTATTCTCTTTAGCTGCATCAGTTTCAGCACTGTGCACGCTGTTTTTGTCACCGCTTACTGGGACACTTGATCACAATAAAGCCATCACTATGATTTTAAATAACATCCGAGTCATTCCTTCCACCACACGAGACACTTTACTATATTCTCAGTGCTCTGATTTGTACCTTGATATTACCTTTTGGATTATTTGTTCTATACAATGTCAAGCATTTTGCCAAATTTTCTGTGTTATGAATCAAAGATGAGCACGTTGTACAGTTCAGATCAAAATGTTTGGAAGGAAATTAAATGTCTCAAACAATAAATAAATGAACTCAAGAATAACAAAACAACAAACAAACATGAAGCACTGCATTACTCACGCCCTTATATTGATTTCAAGCTACAATACTCGTTACTTCCTGAGAGCACGTTAACAGAATTTTTGCTCTGTTCCAATTTCAAAACGAACAATTCTCCTACATGGGATGTAATCAGATGGGGAAGTGGGAAGTTTCTTTTCATGCCACCTCAGTTTGATAGATGTTTATCATTTGTTAGATAAATTCTGAAGGATCACTGTGACTCTGAAAGATGATGAAGTATGTCATCTTAACATTTTTTTTTTTTTAAATTGAGTAGACTTTTTGGAATATTTGGCATCCTCTTGTTCTTGATTGAACCACTTGGGGCAGATATTTCTTCAGATAAAAGAAGATTAAGGGACAGTAACTGAAGTGACAAATCCATTAGGGTCCATCATGCAGCAGCACAAGTCTACAGCTGGCCGAGCACATCTGGAATCATCACAGTTAACAAAACTCCTTCCCCCTTTAAAGTAAAAAAAAAAAAAACCTTTGCTTTGACTCTGATACTATTTCTGTTCACATAATAACAAAAACCTTGATGTCCAATTAAATTCCACAAGTCAGCTTAAAAGGAAAGTTACAGTGAAGCCACATGTTCTCCGAAAAGACTTGATCCATGTGGAGTTACAGTGTAGAAGGCCCGGTCTTCGTGTTGTCGGAGCTTCTGTCAGGTGGGTTTTCAAGAAGTGTCGATGTAACGAAACAAGGCAGAGACGAGTCCTCACACGTCTGAGATCACATGACTACAGTAGGCATTTCTTTGATACGCGACAGCAGCTGATAACAAGAGAGACAGAGTCATATCCAACAGTCTCTCTTATTAACTGAGGACCATCGAGACAGTAGATCTGGTGGGGGGGGGGGAATATCCTCTTACAGTAGTTGATTTTGATGAATACACGTTTGAATGCATAATGCCTGGACTCATAACTTGATTCCGGTCTTATGTGGAAGTACAGATGCTGAACTGCGAGTCCTTGCCGTTCCCTCCTGGTCAGCCAGCCCACTGTTTCCAGCCTGTATGAAGCTCTCAGTGACCGTAGCTGTCTTTGTTGGACCCAGATGAGCCCTCTGTGTCTCTGGGAAGGGCACCGTTGAGCTCCATGAGACTATCGATTCCCAGGTAACCCAGTAAAATCTCACTGCGCCGGTGGGAAAGGTTCAGGATGTCCTCAGCCAAGCACTGAGTGGAGGTGAAGCGGACCTTGTCGTGATCAAACATGTCCTTAAGGTACTGAACGATTTGTTGCTGCACATGAGAGAGGAGAAATGAATGACAGAGAGTTAGGGTGTGATGTAAACACTAAAACCTTCCATTGGAATCAATCAGTCTGTGTGGACGAATGATTTACTGAAGGGACTAAGATTCACCTTAGCAACTGTCCATTCAAATCTAGACTAATTTGTTTTTTTAAACTTAATGATGCTAAAACACAAATTTTAGCTAAGACAGAGAAAAGAGGCAGACGGCTCAAAAACAGGTTTATCACTCAACAGCTAAAAAAAAAAAAAAAAATCGATCTATCTAGTACACAGCTTTAATCCAAAGTGTGCAAAGTTGACTCCGTTCTTATTTCATTGAAGTATTTTAGACCGAACAAAGACTTTGCTTTGGAAAGTCTGTTGGTCCTCCTTCAGTTGCACACTCCGCCATTATGTGCCTATAAACAACATCCCTGAGTAGTGGCAGGGTTAACGGTTGGCTCGTGAAAAAAAAAAGAATTACGATTCTTGAGCCTCTGGGCGACGCATAAACAAGCTCAAGGATGTGCCGTCAGTGTGAACACAGATCTGAGAACAACAAGCCAAGTCTAACATCTTCAGAGTTGCAGTATGAGTATAGGAGGCTGGCTTCTCCGGGTGTGATCCACACTGGAGCTTAAAGATATAAATTCAAATACTGCACCTCCACAAAGTTAAGATGTGATCCTGATTCAATATTCTTGGAGTCTTCAGGAAAGAGAACATGGCTACAGTATTGCTCATCCTGGCAATGCTAATACTAGTTCACATCGTTCATTTGCTTCTATAAATGTTTGCTTCTCAGGTGTGTATGCTCTCACCTTGAAGATTGTGCACACTTCACTTAAGTGCTGCCTGGGTCCCAAAAAGCCGAAAGCTAATACAGGGCTCACATGTTCTGATATGGCATAGAAGTGGGAGATAAAACCATCTGGAACCTGTGGAGAGCAGTAAGAGCCAGCAGTCAGGATTAAAAAGGTTCAAACTGTGAATAACTGCACTTAAAAAAAAAAAAAAAACACTCACCATAAGAAGACGTCTTTTCGCTTTGAGGACAGACCAGCAAGCTGTTGCAAGAGCCTGCAGGAAAAAAAAGCCCAACTCTGTTATTAAACCGACTCTTCGCTAACTTGTCTTTGACAGAATCAGGGAGTGTATACACGTGTGTGAACGTACTGTCTCTTTGAAGCTGTCAGAGAGCCAGCGGTTCCTCAGAACAGCTACCACAGAGGAGGGCGGGCTCTCCAGGTCTTCAAACGCATCCATCAGGATGAAGTCCAACACGATATCGAAAAAGTTCATACACACCACCTGCAGGAGTCAGTATAACCGAGGTAACATTTGAACTTAGATACAAGGTACACACAAAGATACACAAGATTGACAAATGCATGATGTAACCCTAAACAAACAATATTGAGCTGACATATAAGAGTTTACAGGACAATGTCTATCAGAGCAGGTCATGTTTATTTTGTTTATTTTTAATTCAGGAAATGTCACAGAGTCCTACTGAAGGTTTCATGCTATTCCAGTTGGTGGTGGTGATGCCCAAAGAAGTTTAGAATTATACAAAGGAAGATATAGGGGACTATATGAGTATGAGTTATACTTAAAAATCACAAGATTAGATGTATGAAATTGACATAAAACAAACAATTATAACATTTATATTTAAAGTCAAGCAGACCAGCACTTTTTTGCACTTCTGCACTGGCTTCATTTCTCAACACCGGAGTGTTGCCGCTTGGTTCCAATATTTCTTTCATCCCTCTTTAATTTGTCACATTCAGTTTATAATTCAGGAAGAGGCTTGTTCATCAATCTCTGGTGGGAGCATCAGGAATTTAGCTTAAATGAAAGTTATTTTTGCATGTTTTTTTCAAGTTCATAAGGATGGATTGATTGCCGCGTACACAGCCAACTTCAGTGTGAGCATAAAAGAGAGCTTTAAAGCGAGTAAAGCTCACCATACTTCTGAGTATTAGTGACCGGGCTTTAGGTTAAGTATTATTCAGATTAGTCCCAGGGGATCTCGAGTTCATGTAATCTGCCTGAGCATCCCTGTTCCCATGGAGACACCAATAAACAAGCAAAGACAAAACAACCAATAACATGAAGATGATAAGTGTCACTTTATCATTAAGAGAAAAACTTAATTTTAACGGAGAGAGAACGGCAGTGTCACTCACCCCTCTGCCCTCCAGCTCCATCTTAGTGACGGGCCACGTCTCCTCCCTCTGAGTGTACAGCAGCATGTCCTCGTAGCTCTCCAGAAAGCCTTTGGGACTCTGAGACAAACAGGAGCAGTAAAAAAAACATAGAAACAGTTTGTTTACAGCAGTGATGTGGCCACTGAAGCAGAAGCATGTTCTGTTAATCCAATTAGGAAGAGTTAATAAGTGAGGATCCAGATGAGTAGTGTTTTACCTTGTTTGCCTTCACCATTAAGCCTGTAATCATTTGCTTCCCGGTCTCCATGAAAAACGTGCGGTGAGTTTCATCTAACAACAGCATCTGAGAAATGAAAGCATGATCAAATTATTACCCTTTGATGTCATTTTTCTTTTTTTAAAAGTGGTTTCTATGTATACAGCGGGGTTCTGCCTTCTTTAAAGATCAGAGTTATTTCCACATGTAAGCAAAAGATGAATGCAAAGAATCTAAAGAGTCTGGAAGCCACCCCAGCTAACCCGAGTCATTGCCTCGGGGGTTATGAGACTACACCTGCACAGAGGCAGCAGTAAGGCTGCAAGACGTCATGACAACAGAGATGATTTATATTAACGGGCCTGCTAACACATGAAGTGCAATGACACAAAAACCCTTTGTTTCATATTGAGCAAGGGGAAAATGTTATTAAAAGATTGCATATTAGAAAACTGGCAATAAGGCATAGGCACTAGGGATGGGTCATAGTAGCGAAAGGACAATATATCGTCGTCCTGACTCCTTTGATTCATTTATTGCATCACTCTGGTGCCACATCTAGATTTATTAAAAAAAGGTGGTGCTTTAAACAGATTTCCTTGAGAATTTGACTCTGTGCATCACTACTTCACGACTTCTCTCCTTGGCGATTTGGCCATAATTGAGGATAAAAGAATTTCATTTGACCAAAGAAGATGTTGTTTGAGGGATAAAAGAAATAGAAGAAGAAAACAGTGGGGATAATGTTGGACAGTGTGGAATATAAGTAAAGAGAAAGTAAAGTGTGTATCATGTATGTATGTATTTAACTTCTTTAAGGGCTTTTTTTTTGGGGGGGGGGGGGTGCCATTGAGCAAGGCACAAGATAGGTAGACAAATGTGTTTTTCTGACATATCCGCCGCCAGCACCGAGGGGCCACGCGGCCTCGGGTGCGGGGATCTCAAAACCGGTAATGATCCTTCCGCAGGTTCACCTACGCTCAAACACAAGACAATTCCTTTAAAAAAGAAAAGAAGAAGAAAAAAAAAAACAGGCAGAACTTTGCAAGGGATGATTGAAATCCTCGGAGCAAAGAGAACTTTGTGTGAGCTTAAACAGACCTGAAACGCTTGTCTCACACAGTGAAGCTTGGCCAGGAAGTCTTGGTCACCAAAACATTCCAGTAATTCAGTCCTGCCGAAAGGAAGAGAGAGTTATGAGGCTTAATCGAACCTTATTCTTCTGTTAGCCAAAGAACACAATAAAGCAGAATACACACTTTTATTTTGGTAACTGAAAACCTATTATCTGTTTACTAACTCAACAAACACGGAACAATATTAGCTTTCATTCTGAGAAGTGTTTTTAGTTACTATTCGATGAATGTAAGTCAATTGTTTACTCAACTTTTGCATCCATTTTTGGCCTCCACCAATTCATTGAAGAAATACTAGGCTCTTAAGCTGCTCAATGCTCTACCCTCTACTTCAGTGGGTACTAACACTGCCTGCTATTTCTGGAAATTACACCGATGAGAGCAGTGAGGGTCAACCAAAAGTATAATCACAATAAAACAAAAAACAAAAGAGCTGAAGGACCCAGAAACTTTCTGCAGAGCAGCAGCTAACAGCCGTGTTGTTCTCGGTGTGTTTTTCACTAAGAGCGACTCACGTTGATTAATGCAGCTTTAAGTATTTAGGTACAGTTGATACTCTTTAGTTACCTCAGAGACCGATAAGCCACTTTGCTCTCCCGGACCAGACACACGGCTTCTTCATAGAGAGCTGCTGGCTTCAGTGTCTGGTAGACGTCTCCCAGACACATGGCATCAAATAGCTGCAAACAAAGAACGTACACGTACCTCGGTGAACAGTCCACTTATGCTTGAAATAGAAAGCAGCAGACGTGACTGGCTCTGCAAGACGAGAAGGGTAATAGTACGAGTACTTTATACGATTACGGAAGAGAGAGAAACGCTAACCTCTGCAGCCGAGAAAAAGGAGTCGTCAGAGGTAACTGTAGTCGCATCGTCATCCCGCAGTCGGTGGAAACTCTCCACCGTAGGCAAGATAAGAGTTCCTTCACTCTCTGCCAAAAAAAAAAAGACAAATATTAACTAGCACGGAAATCATTTAAATGCAGATGTAGTTAATAACTTACTAAAAGAACATGCATCATTCCTACTCTTCACTGATGAGTAAAAGCAACTAAAATGTGACCCTCCTGAATCACAACATGTTCTAATTGGCTCACTAGGTATTCTTCAAACCTCAGTCTTATTTGTTCTGCTTGATTAAAGATATTTTGAACAGTTTTTAAAGTCTCAAAATGACTTTTTTACCGAAGTCTGCCAGCACGCTGTCTGTTGGGATACTGCTACCAAAATCTTCTTGTAGGTGATACGCCCTGTGCAGTAATGTCTCCAGCTTCTCAGCAAACACTTTATTACGGGCTTCAACCTGTAATGAAAAGGGGAAAAAAACACATAAAATAGGGCTAGGGTTACTTTATCAATATACAATTAAGACATTAAGTCCAGGAACTTTTTAAATCCTTTAAATGTACTGTGTCTGTACGGTGCTGAAAAACATTTTAAGAACAGTGCTTGAAATTTCGACATCAGCGTAATCCATAATAGTGTACACAGAGTGGAAAGTAATCCAACCAAGCACAACACTTTCAAGTAACATGAGCTGGTTATGATTTGTTTGATGGTTACCATAGGAAAGTCTCCACACGCTGCACCCTGCAGAGCAAGGCTGTTGTTGCTGGAGCTCGAGTGTGTGGGATGACGAATATTCAAGGCCTGTTCCCACTTTTGGAGCGCTTCCTCAAACAGCTCCATTCCTGACAGGGAAAGGAGAGCAAGGTTTACCACGCTGTCAATGCAGCATGTAAGTGTTAAGATATGCAAACAGAAATTCTGGTGGCTGGAGCACATTTTACCTGATCAAAAGTATAGTTTAACAAAAGTTTAAGTAAGCCAACTTTGTATATTTTTTAATAGGGGAAAGAAAATTCAAATAAATAATGCAGGATAATCCTGCCAACAACACTCTGGGTCCAAGATTCCAACAATTTACAGGATTACATCTTTCCTCCACTTGTTCTAACAACCCTAGAAGAATAAAGCCCTCTTCACATGCTTTGGAATGTCGCGCGATTTAGGGCTGCCATGATGCGGTGTGAATACAAAGAATAATCTTTCCATGATACTTAAGAAACAAAAGATTATGAAACATCCAAACCAGCTAAACGTGTGAATGTGCGGTGTGTGAGATTTCTAAAAAGAAAAGCAGGAGTTGTAAACACCTACCCATTAAATAGAGATTCTCTGCGTTTGCATCGTCCACTGCCCCGGACTCCTCCACCACAGGCTCTGCTTCCCAGGGGGTGGATGGATTAACAGACTGATTTGGAGAGCTCGGGACCCGCATCTTTGCCAGAAACAAACATCAACACACACACAGGGAAGACGCATTACAAAAACGTGGAACAAGAGAAAAGGTACACAATATATGTCACAGAATTAGTTATTTAATTGTGATACTAACAGATGCCAGGCTGTGTGAGGAACTTGAGTGTTTACTGGGGGCCAGGGAAGAAATTCCACTCATGGTGTCATTGCTCCGCGTGCTTGGACTCATCATCTGTCGGCCAGTAATCTGACCTGTAAGAAGAAAAAAAAAAACGCCTTCTGATTTGCATATTTCTTGCAGGATCTGAATGACCTAATATCCAATGTGACATGAACTCATGCACACCTCTCTTTAATGACGAAGGTCGTCCTGTCTTCATCAGTGCCTCAGGTATTCCCACAGTCTTCTGGCCCTCCTTCCCCTGTACCGCCTGCTTACGTTTCCTCCCTCTTCTTTTCAGCTGATGAGCGGTAAGCGCCAAAGCGACGCTTCCCAGCGCTGTGGCGAACAGCACCTTCTTCAAGTTCGGGCTGAGCTTCAGCTGAGAAAATATGGACTGAAAGACGACAGGCCAACACAAGATATCAACGTTAACAGCTTCTAGATACATTTGAAAAGCCTACAGTGAGAGTGAATGGAGATGCAAAGCACAACTGTAGATGCAAAGTGGTTTACCTGCCCAAATGTGGAATAGAGAAACACTGGTATCTCGGCCACAGTCATGGCCAAAGCCTGGGCGATGGACATCCCGTCTGGTTGTTTGACTGACATCTCAAAAATTGAAATGCCTTCAGGCCTCTGCTCGCCAAAGATCCCTCACATTCACCCTGAACGAGGTCTCCTCTCTGGTCTGGGATAAGCCAGCTCAGGGCTTGCTGATGAGCTGCCTGTCTTCATTCACGCCCCGGCTGCAAAGCGGTCCAGTGTCGGACTGTAGATTTTGTTTACCCTACAGACGGAGAAGGCATGAGTGTAACAACCTCCTTCTTTAGTTGTCATTCATAAAACCGGCCTCGCAATTATAAAGACAAGCAGAGTGTCACCAATCAATCATTCAATCTTTATTTTTTTTTTTATCTCAAGACCATTTAAAGAGCAGGTAAAAGGCCGTGCTTTCTTTTATGATATTTTCAAAGACCCAACATTAATCCATCGCGAGCATTGGCACTAATCAACATTTATCAACGCTACAGTGGCAATAACAAAACCTGCCTTTAAACAGACAGCAACCTCGAGAAGAACCAGACTTCACAAGATATTCATAATATCAGCTTTTGTAATTCTGTACTGCATCTAGTAATGACTTTATGAATGTCACATTGTGAAACATGCACATTATTCCTTCGCTCAGATAAAGTAGAGCAACTCATTTTGCTGTATTGTGTACCTTGTATGTTGAATCTTAACCCCTATTCGACAACATCCACAACACAGACATGGCATCAATAGACACAATCATCACCACAGAAATGCATAAAGCTGAGCAGAAAAACCTTCCAGACTCAGACAAATTAGAATATACTTGCAAAGGTCCATGGCTTAAACTCATATTAAGTGTTAAGCAGCAGACTGTCTGCCAGCTACTTACCTATCTACACTGTTTGGTATGCAGCCAGTGGACAGGGCTGCCTGACACCTACTGTGTGGCTGACTTTGTCTCCTTGGTCTTCATCACGTCTGGAAAATATGAATAAACGACAAGGAATAATCAGTATTGGCAAAGTGAAAGAAGCCTCACACTCACACTCACACAGGCAAGCATGCTAATGTCAGCTAGCACTCAGCTAGCCTAGCTCGTCGCTCACTTGACATCACAGCATCATCCGGTCAACCGGACACAAACCGCGGGGCCTTTCACTCACACCTCAGATATTTCGGCATGTTTTGTGTGCTCCTAATCGGATATGTGACTAATAACATAAACCATCACTTTGCTACATACCGTGAGCATCCAAGTTGGCGGGGAAGGACATTACTGTGTCACCGCCGCACACTAGCTTACTGCTAAAGGGGGCGGAGCTCTACAGAAACACAAGGCTACGGTTTCATCCACAAGCCAATCAGGCGAGGCGTAGACCAGTTTCCTTTCTTTTTTTTCCATGACCAATCAGATAGAAGGTGAGAGGGGCAAAAAAACTTCTACTAGCCAATCAGATCATTTTCGCTTGACTAGAAAAGCGAAAATGTGAAAGCTGTCAAAAAGTTTCATGTTGCGCATTAATTTGTTAAAAAATAATAAAAAATAAATAAAAATAAAATCGATTAAATAACATGAAAGACATAGCAACATAAGTAGCATTTGTTATTATTATTATTATTATTAATAATAATAATAATAATAATAATAACTTTATTTATATAGCACCTTTAAAAACACAGGTTTACAAAGTGCTTTGACAAACAAGAACAAAGCAAACTAAACCAAACACAGAAGAACATAAACAACAGCAAGAAAATAACAAATGCAAAATACTAAAAATAATTAAATACAATTCAACAGAAAAGAACCCAAAGTGCACGATACCCAACAGACATATATAATCCGACCATCACAAGAACCATCATAAGAACCCAGGAAACACAAGAACCCAACAACACGAGCTGAGACCGAGAGGACCAAAGATTTAAAAAGATGTGAGAAACTAAGAGATATAAGCAAATAAAAAGATAACAGCAATAAGAAGGTAAGAGCAGTAAAAGAAATACAAACAAGTGGTTAAAGGATCAAAAAACCCAAAACTATAATATTAATGAAAATGAAAGTAAATATAAATATGAAACGTAAATAGACAAAGTAAGTAAGCTAAAAAAATTACCAAGTTAAAATATAACAGGAGTTAAGATATGAGCATGAATAAAAGAACAGTAAGAAGTAAAAGAAGATAAAAATAGTAAAACCAGGAAGAAAAGACATTAAGAAGACGACATCACATAAAAGCAAGTCTGTAAAAGTATGTTTTAAAAAGGGATTTAAAAGAATTGAGGGAATCTGCGAGTCTTATCTCCTCAGGGAGGAGACACGTCGCTTTGGACAAAACCGTGTGCTAAATTAATTTGTAGAATGTTACAATATGCAATATAATAATATAAACAGGCTATTGTTCTCCTTTACAAAAATACAATAGTAATACAACTAATCCTGCATTATATAGACCCGCATATTTTAAAGGGCTCGTATAATATCACTGTATCAACTGTATGTTTGCAATCGGCTGGCTTTTTTCCGTGCATGTGTTGTGGAAACATACATTTACGAGCGGCACTTGAAGACGTCATTATGAATGTTCCACAGGTGTGTTAAGTTCACTATAATATAATTTCCGGATGTGGCCTCTGTCTTTCAAAATAAAAGGGCGAGCAGGTACATAATACTGTAAGTAGGCATTTGCGCAATATTTCTCACGCGGTAGTTTTTAAAACATTGTCAAATTAACACATTCTCTAAGATTTAGGACAAGGGTCAAGATACACTTCTTTTTTTTTTTTTTTTTAATTGTAGGTGTCCAGGTGATGCTTTTGTTGCGGACCGGAAGCTTTATTCTGGGTGGAGGAACACAGTGCGGAATTGAAACAATATTTAGTAGGCTGCTGTGTCAACAAAGCGGGTGCAATAGTGGTAATCCCCTGCGAAGAGAACAGCTTGAAGTTAAATTAGACATCCTGTTATGGGATATTATTATGGAACCGTCAGGCGATAAAACACTTTCGTGACATCGTAAAGGAAGAGGTGTCTGGATTCGACAATATATATATCAGAGTTGCATGAGAGCAGCCATTAAAAATGTGTATGAATCCTTTTGATCGTGATTCGTCCATGGCTGAGTTTGTCTCTCTCGACACTCCTCCCTGGAGTTAAAAGAGCTGGAAACATGAGTGGCATCGGGCTCTCTGAAACTGAGCTACAATTCTCTTCCCCAAAGGACTTGATATGAAATCTCTGGTAAGACAGGCGGTTTTTAATGCAATGTGTGTTGTCATATTTGAGCCAGATGTTCTTGCTCTGTACATGTCCGGATGTGTTATCATTTCAACCACAGCCCCCCTCTTGCTTTGTCTGGTCTTCTGCAGATGCGCCGCTGGCTGTGCCTGCTCACCCTTTGCCTCCCTGTGTTGTTTTGGTTCGGACATGTGATCACGCGGGACGATCCGACCCCTGCTGAGAAGAGCTCCAGGCTCAGGGGCTACATGAGGGTCAGCCCCGGCAGGATGGACCAGGTGGGAAGCAGGGTTTGGGTTTCTAGAATATTGCATCTACAGGGCAGGGTCCAAAGCTCAGTGGTTAAAAATGAACCTGTAAATAGATTTCGACGTTACACATTTTGCATGTAATATTTTGCTTGTTAAAATGTGAAGAATATTCCAATTTTACTGGCAGATATTGGGTCAGGAATACAGGAAAATAATGGTCACTTTAAATGAATCTGCCAATCCTTTCTTGAATCATCCAATGAATAGATTCATTAGTTTGTCTATTTGTGTGTCAAAGTAAAAAAAATAGGGGAAGTCCCAATTTCCCAAAGCCCAGGTTTAAATGTTAAGAATTCTTGTTCTGTTCAACCAACAGTCCAAACTAAAGATACTAAGTTTACACAAAGTCAACGTATGCTCCTGATTCACAAGCTGAAAATGTGAAATGTAAGTCAGATTGAGTCGTTTATCTGTTATTGACATAGCCTAGCTGGTCATTTCATCGTTGTTAAATAACTCTTCTCTTTCGTATCTATGATTATTAAAGGATAATAAATGACACTTTAACAGCTGTAACTGCAGCATTGTTCTTTCCAGAATATTCAGAAGTTAGCTGATTTTTATTTATAACTGTGTTTGTTTTGCTGACATATTGTAGAACTCTGAAATGTCCCAACTCTGATATTTGTATCTTACATGAAAAAAAAAGGTTTGGGACCCCTGACATAATGATCTCACACCATTAAAGGCTTAAGCTATAGAACTGGTTCATGTTATGCCTGACCTCTATAAGCCACATTATTGTTTAATTTCTGTGTTTTAGATTTTGTTAAATCAGCAAATGTCAAGATTCACATCATTTGCTTAAATTGTACTGGTTCACTTTTTTAATTTGGCGAATATTTTATTGTTATTCAAAAACTGCTAATATTTTGTGCCGTATTAACAATTGGGATTTTTGTGCCCACTCCTTTCCATAATTGGTTAAATAGTTTTAAATTGTGATTAATTGGTGAACACATTTTTTTATTTCAGTTCTAAGTATATAATTAGGTTGAATATGATTTTAAAGACATTTTAAACATAATGGGTACTGTCTATGACGAGGTGCTTGAGGTCATCTAAGCTGTTGGAGCAGGTCTGACAGGAAATGTTTACATACCTTATATTCCAGATAAATAGTTCCTGAAAACATTTGTTGTTGTTGCTGAACAGATCACATCAATAAGGCTAGGGCAATGCTAATACACAGAGGCACACACCAAACAGGTCTGGCTTCAATAACAGACACATGTACTGATACAAACATTGTGTTTCTAGTATTAAACAACTTGCGATAACATAATACATTTCAGTATGTAAGCTCAAACATCTTTTTTTTTCAAATTCTGCCTTCATTCTCCACAGCCCCTGGACATGCACTGCAGCCGCTGTGCCTTGGTCTCCAGCTCGGGTCAGATGCTCGGAGCTGGCGCTGGAGAAGAGATAGACGGGATCGGATGCGTGATCCGGATGAACAATGCACCCACGCGGGGGTTTGAAAAAGATGTGGGAAGCCGCACCAGTGTTCGGGTTGTGTCTCATACCAGCGTTCCCTGGTTGGTTAAAAATGAGAGCTACTATTTCCAGCAATCAGTGAACACCACGTACATATTCTGGGGGCCCGAGAGGAACATGAGGCAAGACGGGAAGGGACGGATCTTCAATTCTCTCCTGAAAATGGCAAAGAAGTATCCAAGTGTCTCGATGTACGCTCTGACCAGGGAGAAGATTCAACACTGCGATAATGTGTTTCAGAATGAAACTGGGAAAAACAGGTACAGATACAGGAAAACAAACAGAAAGACGTTTAATCAGTTCTATCTTTAAAATCAGCAACATTAACAAATTCTTCCAAAAATCACCCGCATTTTATGAATCATTGGATTATTATCATTTATTTGTTTGCCTTTCCTGTTTCCCCTATTTTCCCTTCAAAATAAGAATCTCCACTTTGTACAGGAAGGCCAAAAACAAGTCATTATTTGAAGGGGAAAAAAACACTCATGAATGCATATCAGGTTAAATGACAAAATGTAATGGGGTTGATATTTTAGAATTCCACAATAATGAAGTCACGAGAGGTTCTCCAGTTTTGCCTTCTCTTTTCATCCTAACTTAGCACAGGCTACTGTGGGCCTTAGCCAATGACAAACAAGACACCTGCCAGTATAAATGTCTGTGAATGGCTTCTGCCCCGGACTCGGAGACTAAACATTTTCATTACTCAGCGGGAAGAACAACAAGCCACCTCTTTCATGCTCTCTGCTAATCAGAGGCATAAAAACAGATAACTGTCACAGATACCAGAGGTTTCTGACAGATCGTACGGCCTCTGAGCGTGTCACCTAACACTGATGTCATCTAACACATTCACTGACATTCAGGACAATTCCTAGTAACAACCCAGTCCTTTTGTTTAACTGAAGATAACAGTCTTGGCACTGTGAACTTTGGAATAATAACAGTGAACATCGGCATGTTGCCCAGCCTGTTACAATGTCATCAACTGTAAAGAGAAGAAGTATATAGCTGATCTCATTCTTTTATATTAATCATGAACAAGTATGTTTTTATAAGAACAGATGTGTGGTGTCTCTTATTCAGGATGAAGACCGGGGCATTCCTCAGCACTGGATTCTTCACAATGATTCTTGCTATAGAAATGTGCGACAGCATCCATGTTTATGGAATGGTCAATGATAACTTCTGCAGGTGAGACCCAATTTTAGGTTATGCAAAGATTGCATAAGCCACTGTGACCTGTTGATCTTTGCGATGGCATTTTGAAGCAAGTTTGTTATTTATGCCGTTGATGTCTTGTTTTTTTTTTTTTGGAGCTAGAAGTGATCTTATTTTTGGACGAGAGGATGGATACAGTATTGCTAAATCTCTATCCTGGTTGCCTGGTCATCTTTGTAGTGGCTTGTCAGTCACAGGATGCCTCAAATGAAACCCTTTGCTTTAGACTTTATTGTCCTCATGGGGACGTTCCTTTTCACATCCTCATTTCTGTCCAACAGAAATGTCCCACCAAAGAACAGTACATACACAAAACACAGTGTATGAAACAAACAATGCCAAACAACAACCCAGAGTTCAGGAATCAGAATCAGAAATACTTTCTTAATCCCAGAGGGGAACTCGGTTGTTACAGTTGCTCTAAACACAATATAGCAGTAGAAATATAGTAATATATAAATATTAATAAAATAGAATATGAATGTAAGTAAGATATCAAGCAATAAGTACAAGAAATATTTACACAAATAAGAGTAAAAAAGCACAGAGAGTGAGGACCTGGAATATATACACACATTTTCAAGATTATTGGCCTGTTCAGACAGGCCTTTAGTTCAGGGCAGCTATAAAAGCAGGGATCAGGATTTTCCCAAGGTGATCCCTTCTGCACCTCAGTGCTCTGTACCTGCGTCCTGAGGGAAGTAGGGTGAGCTGGATGTTTAGTGGATGTCTGATGTCCTGTTTTATTCAGGTTGACATGCGTGCAGTGGCCCTGTTGTTGAGTTCTGTTCGGCTGGGTGTGGGGGGAACAGTTATTATGGCAGCTGTGGTTGTGATGCGTGAGAGTTTGGCCTTGTTTTTAACCGATAACATGTTGATGAAGAAGCAGGTGGAATAATAAATTAGGTTAGGCGGGATATATTTTTTTAATGATCTATCAAGATCTGTTGAGGAAGTCTTAAAACCATCAGGTGAAACTATAAACTCATTAGAAAAATCTTTATTTAGATATAAATCATCTCAGATCACGTAGGGATAATTTCTCATCTAGTTCCTTTCAAGCAGTTTTTTGCAACCACGTTCGTTTTTTGGTAATCTGATGTTTCCTCCGAATAGCCAAGCCAACCAAAGTCCTGTTCCTTACCACTACTATGAGAAGAGCAGGATCAATGAATGCAGGATGTACAAGGTCCACGAGCACACTCAGCGCGGGGGTCATCGATTCATCACTGAGAAGGCCATCTATGCCAGGTGGGCAACCCAGCACAAGATTGAGTTTAAACACCCCTCATGGAGCCCCTGAAGAAGAAGATATTTACTACACAGTGTTCCTTTTACTGAGCAGCGGTATGTCCTTTTGCCTGGTTTTTGTTCCTCTTTGTTGAAGTCTATAGTTTTGCCTTGAACTGCTGTAGAACTTTTATCATATACTGGATTGTTACTGGTGGAACTTTAACGGTCACAAACATTTTAAACTGGCTCAATGTGAATGCAGTTAGCCAGATTTAGCTGCATTTAGCTGCTAACATGTGGTGGGTACCATCCCCAGTATTACGAAATACATCAGCTGTATTAAGCCATATGTCAGTGTTGATGCTGAGAAAGACTTTAGAGCCACTAAACTAGAAACTAAGAGGAGTTCAAACGAAAGCGAACACTTCTTAATGTCTTCATACCTGTGCCTTGATTTTAAGTCTTATTGTGCACTATTTTATGCTGCAGCTACAATACACATTTTTACTTTATGAAACAGGAAGTGTAATGATTCCTTGCTGTGACAAAAGCATTTTTTTAGATCAACAGTTAATCTGGCATTTTTCATTTTCATGTAGTTGTTTAGTACTCAAACAGTTCTAACAGTTGGTCATTTTGAATGCCTGTAAATGCTGCTGTAGGGCAGGTTGGTGTCAGATGAGGCTTTTAAACACACGCTGCCAACATGGCCTTTTTTCTTTTTACATTCTCCATGGGATTTGCCGTCTTTTTAAACACTTGACTTTTAAATGACAGCAGGAGGAGATGTTTCTTTTGTGAGATATCACTAAACGCACATGTACAGAAAGAGATCAGCAAAGCGATATAAGGGAGGCTACGCTTTATCCGAGAACAAGCTTTAGAGAAGTTTCCTTTTTTAAATAATTTGTTTAAACAGTGGTTACAAACCTAAAGTAACTTCATTTACATTGTGAAAACAAGAAAATTATGTTTGCATTTTACATTAAGAATGGGGGATTGCCAATACATTTTAGGATTAGTTTTCTGTTGATCAAATAATTGATTAATTGAGAAATTTTTGCTACAATATCGTTCTTTTTAGTAAACTTTTGCCTTAAGACCTGACAGAGAAATGTTAAAGAAATGTAATGTCATGTTGTTCATTGACGTGTGTCTTGTAGTCAAGCTTAAAGCTGAAGAAAATCCCCACAAACTACTATTACGATACAGTTTATTATTTTTAAAATAGTGAAATAAGATTCAGTTTAACATAACTCATTTGAAAGTCCTTTTTTCCCCATTCCTCAAGTAGTTGTGGTCACTAGGATGCCAAGCTTTATCTAAGTGCTCATTGACTAAACCAAAAAAAAATGAACACACACATCAAGCAGCATATTAAACTAATATGTGTCCCTAGTCTTTCTTCAATCCCCCCTATTATGAGAAAAGTCTATCCTCTCTGTCCTTTGCCTTCTAGACTTTTCAGAAAATGTGTGCTCAAACAGCTGTTTGGAGATGTTCCCTTTATGACATCACAAAGGGCAGTAACCCCTCCCCCAGATGGGTGACACTCCCACAGCTAGGTGTTTGTTCTGCCCTCCGAGTCTGCCTTCTCACCGTAAACAATTGGGCATGGTGTGGGAAAGAAAGAGCCACCCAAGCCCTTCCAGAGAGGGGCGTGGTCAGACACAACTCTGTCAAGATACAAAAACAGCCTGTTCTGAGCAGGGCTGAAATATAGGGGTTTATAGGCATGATAAAATACAGAATCAGAGTGGATTTAGAACAAGAAACTTCACAGAATGTTGAATGTTTGGAAAGCTCAGGACTTATTTAAACTGGCTGAAAAGGAGGATAATATGTGACCTTTAAGGTTTTAATGTTGAAGCTTTACTCTTATTTTATGCCCTGACTGCGACAAGGGAAAGGCTTAAATGCTTTAAGTAGCAGAGGTTAGCTCTACCTTTTAACTCACCTGTTCCCTTGTGCATAATGTAAATGTAATGCAGTTGTTGTCTTTGTGAAATTAGTGGTGACACGAATAATGAATGAGTGATGGAGCTCAGTGAGACGCAGTGATTATTTGATGATATGTTTATACCAAACCTAGACCTCATATTATCTAAATGTAACTACTGAGAGGTAAGTGTCCATCACAGACAGCATTTCTTCAAATCAATGGCTGAAAAAAACACTGTTAATCATGGAACTAGTTTCTTGTCTTCAGAAAAAAAGAAAAAAAGTTTACCCTTTTCATTTTATTTGCTGGAAAAAAATAGCTCTGCCTTTAAGATTGCATAATTGTTATTTTATGACTAATTCCAAAGACTGTATTAGTTACTGTAATGCACTTCTGAATGAACTACTGTGTCAAAATAATTTTCAGGCATTACATGTTTGAATTGAAATATGTTTTTAATGGCCTTTTGGTGACCATAAATGTAATGAAAACTTGAATGTAAACTTGAGCACTCGTCACTGCTGATTGATGTCACTATGAATAAATCTGTTAAACACAGTCTGCCTTTGTGTCAGCTCTTGGCCTCAGATTAGATTCTCTTGGTCTCTATTTATAGTAGATCCCATGAATGTGGTCTGCACATGTGTATCTATACAGCCTTTGTCCACATGTGCTTTTGACTGGTAGGATATCATCTCGGGACAATGTGGGCGTGCACAAAAAGAGCTTCATAGACAGTGTCACACATTTTCCATTTGTTTTTTTTTAAATGTGTTTAAATGTTTAATACAGATACTGTTCATTCAGATGTATTTACCTTGAGTAACAGTTAATTCCACCACAGCTATTGATGGCTGTAGTTTCATTGATTTTTTAAGTGATTTTCCACTGCTGCAATAATTAATTTGATTTAAAGCAGAGATGAACATTGTAACCTGCATCAGTGAGAGGAATCTCTCTGACTGGCTGTTTAGAGGTTTCACTTATCTGCAGCTCGACACAGGTTCGGAATCGGGAAAGCCCCTTGAGCATGCCGCTGTAGTAGGCTATCCATGCTTTCACCCATTAGTGTGGTTTCTCCTTCTTTGTCACCTCCGCCTCTTTTCTTTTTCCACTTAAAGAACAAGGGCTGACAACGCCAGTGCTATTTTCAACTTTTTATCAAACATTATTTTCGATTTGTAGGCTACCTATAGCCTACGAGTGGTGAGTGACAGCGGTGTGAAAATGGTCGTTTCGTATAACAACGGACTACCGCCGCCTGCTGGCATGGTTGTTTACTCTCACGCATGCGCAGAACGTACGTGGTGGTTGGCTGTCGGCTGTAGTCTTTGCGGTGTGTTCTAGTGCAACTTTTTGGCGAAGATGTGAGGCGACGTGAGGGCCTCACGAGATCCAGTTAATTCCACCACTGTTAGTATAGTAGTGTTAGTTTTATAATGGTGCAGTTGAGCTTGAAATGTTCAACGGGGCTTTGATTTAAAGCAGAGCTGAACCTTGTAGTCCGGATTTTTTTGGGGTGTAAAACTGATTGAGTTCATGCCCAAATGAAGCTCCTACATCAGGCGTACCTTTTATGTCATTTTTTACATTTCAAATATATTTTTATCACTAAAAGAAAAATAATAATAATAATGTAATCACTTAAAATGTCTTAACCTACGATTGGGACTAGTAAGATGTTTCAAGCCTCAGAACATTTGGTTTATTTTAGGGTAGTGAATAAGAGATACTGAGAGACGAGACTGACACTTCGAGGGACGTTTGTCCGATCAAAATCCTCCAACATATTCATTTTAAAACATGTTCAATCACACATTAGACGTTTTATGAAACATATTTATTGTTGGGCTGTTTTTGTTTTTCCCAGAATGAGAAATCAAGCCAGGCCAGTTTTAAAATTCAGCTGATTTAGACTAGAATCAGAATCAGGTTCATCATCAATTACATTTCCACATTCAAAAAAATTGACTTGGTGCATTGGTAAAGGCACTTCAATAAAATTCAATTAAAATATAAAAAGCAATTTAAAAAAAGATAATATAACACACAAGATGTACAAAATGCACTGGAGAAACTATGCAGTTGTGTGCAAGATCAATTATTAGAGCAATTCTGAATTATATAACATATTCAAGACCAGTGTGTATTAATGTAACACATGAGATCTGTGTTAGTCTTAGCATTATTGAAAATGACCACACTCTGTGACTGGATGATTCTCCATCATCATGTGGGGGGTAGAGCGGGGCATTGTTAATGAGGCTGGCAGCACAGAGAAAGAAACTGTTCTTGTGGCATGAGGTTTTGGTCCAATTACACAGTGAGCCACAGGAGTTGAGCATTTTTACTCTCTGAAGGAACATCACACTAAAAGAGACTGGTCCTAGACCTCTGATATAAACACAAGCACAAATAACAAATACGTTAGTTTAAGAAAGCTAGCCTTAAAGATGTATTTTACTTCAAGTCAAATTTACACATTTTAGATTGAGGTGCGTTTAAGGGGAGTTGGAATGATTGTGTTTAAAGGTAAATAAAACTGCGCTCTGTAGGGACAGCTATGAAAAGGGAAATTATACACACAAATGAAAGGAATAAGTGGAAGCATTAAATGGGAGAAGAGGAGGGGGACCAGAATTGAAGTCAAATTAAGACATTGATGTAGGGGCTTTTAGATTCAGGTGCGTTTAAGTGGAGTTCATACACACACACACACACACACACACACACACACACGCACACTCCTCAATGAAGTCGGACATCCCCCAACACAACTATCTATGTGCTGCAGTGGGGGACGTTGTGATGACGTCAGATGTGGTGCAGGAAGATGGGGAGCGCGAGAGATGAGGGACACATCAACACAGCAGATCCAACTCGGCCATGAAACGGTAAAGCGGATTATCAAACACTGGCGTTAATTCTGACACTTTTGACATGACAGCTTAACCGATACCTTAATCACATTTGCCGGATTTGGCCATTGTTTTATAAAGATAGGCTATTTACCAAATGTACGTCAACAATGGACAGAGAACAGCTGCGTAATGTGGCATTTTTCTTGCAAAATAAATAAATAATTGGCTTCTAGGTTTATGGCGGTGGGTAGCCTACTTAAAAACTAAAAATGCCTTGCTTATTATTTTTTTTTTTACCCTAGTTTGCATATTTTTCCATTTGTTTTGATGCATAATTTTAACCTAAATAACGGTTCATTAATTAGACTACTTTGCGTATTGTTGCGTGATAGCCTATCGAATTGTAAATAATCTACCTATACTTCATTTGACATCATTTATAGGCTAGAAATAAACACTAAACCAACAGCGGGGGACCGTTTTCGGAGTCACATTTGTTTTTTTTCGTCTGTCTTGCGGTTAAGGTATGATGACAGATAGTCACAGCCAGTGTGTTGGTACACTGCCTGATCTGACAGGATGGGGCTCAGGCTCAGCGGCAAGGTAAGCCTTTTTGATACGAGGCTATAATTATTGTGTGATTTAATTAATGTTTAATGTTTAGTGCGATCCGTTTACACAGCCACGTTCTTTTTTTAATGTAGGCCCATCCTACATGTGGTGTGAAGGATGTAAAGTCATTTTGGAATGTATTAATAGGCTACATCACAGTAAAAATTCCAGTCCTGCATTGAAAATGTTCAATATGGAAAGGGTTCTTGAAGAAGGCCTATCATAAGTAATAATAACAATAATAGTCATAATTTCTATAAAATTTCTGTAAAACAACACTACAACAATGATAAAATGAAATAAAAAAGATATTCAAATAACTGTATTCATGCCTATCCCTGAGGTACACCTTTTGTGGAAAAGCAACAGTGCAAACACAAGGCTCATAAAAATTATAACTAAACCAGGTGTTTACTAAAACATTACACAAGATTAAGGTAGAGGATTATTTAAAAAAAGATATATATATATTAAAAACTGTTTATAAAATTCTGTTTAAGAAGATATTTTTAAAGATGAAATGGATTTTACTGCCTTAATTTCTTCTAGCAGACTTTTTCAAAGTACAGGTGCCAGACCTTCTTGTGCCTTAAAAGGAATCTGTAAATTGTAAAGAAAATTCTAAAACATACTGGGAGTCAGTGTAGGTGTGCTTAAACATTAGTGATAGGAGTGAGTTTCAGTTTAAATCAAGATGAAAGGAAAGCATTAATAGCCTTCTCCAAATCAGCTTTACATAAAATTGTCTGGATTTTTGTGATATTTCTGAGTTGAGCAACTTTTAATGACAAACCATCAGGTTCCTTTAAAATCTGCTATCTGGCATTTTGCTGATAAAAATCTTGAATTTCATGTTTGATATCGTCTAACTGGGAAAAAAACGTTTAAACATGTAACATTTGATGGCATTGAAACCATATTTGAGGGCGTTGAGGCAG